AGTAGTAGTAGTAGTAGTAGTAGTAGTAGTAGTAGTAGTAGTAGTAACAGTAGTAGTGATACGAGTAGGGGTAGTAGTCGTGGCACTAGTAGTGGTGTAGTAGTAGTAGTAGTAGTAGTAGTAGTAGTAGTAGTAGTAGTAAAAGTAGTACTAGTAGTAGTAAGTGTAGAGTAGTAGTAGTAGTCGTAGTAGTAGTAGTAGTAGTAGTAGTAGTGATACGAGTAGGGGTAGTAGTCGTGGTAGCAGTAGTGGTAGTAGTAGTAGTAGCAGTAGTTGTAAAAGTAGTACTAGTAGTAAGTGTAGTTGTAGAAGTAGTAGTAGTAGTAGTGGTAGTAGTAGTAGTAGTAGTAGTAGTAGTAGTAGTAGTAGTAGTAGTAGTAGCAGTAGTACTAGTAGCAGTAGTATTAGTAGTCGCTGCAGCAGCATCAGTAGTAGTAAATGTAGTAGAAGTAGTAGCAGAAGTAGTAGTAGTAGTAGTAGTAATAGTAGTAACAGCCGTAGCAGTAGTAGTAGTAGTAGTAGTAGTAGTAGTAGTAGTAGTCGTAGTAAAGCAGCAGTAGTAGTTGTAGTCGTAGTATTAGTAGTCGCAGCAGCAGCATCAGTAGTAGTATTAGTAGACGTAGTAATAGTTGTAGTAGCAGTAGTAGTAGCCGTAGTAGTCGTAGTCGTAGTCGTCGTAGAAGTAATAGTAATAGTACGAAGTAGTAGTAGTAGTAGTAGTAGTAGTAGTAGTAGTCGTAGTAGTAGTAGTAGTGGCAGTAGTAGTAGTAGTAGTAGAAGTAGTAGGAGTAGTGGTGGTAGTAGTAGTAGTAGTAGTAGTAGTAGTACTAGTAGTAGTAGTAGTAGTAGTAGTAGTAGTAGTAGTAGTCGTAGTAGTCATAGTAGTAATAGTAGTAGTAGTAGTAGTAGTAGTAGTAGTAGTAGTAAGAGTCATAGTTGTAATAGTCGTCGTTGTAGTACTCGTACGGGTGATAGCAGTACTTGTAGTAGTAGTCGTAGTGGTAGTGGTAGTAGTAGTAGTAGTAGTAGTAGTCGTAGTGGTAGTAGACGTAGTCGTAGTAGCAGTAGTCGTAGTTGGTAGTAGTCGTCGCAGTGATCGTAGTGATAGTGCACAGAGTTGACGGACACGTAGTAAAAATAGTAGTATTAAAAATAGTAAAAGTAGTAGTAGTAGTAGTAGTAGTAGTAGTAGTAGTAGTAGTAGTAGTAGTAGGTAGTAGTAGTAGTAGAAGTAGTAGTAGTAGTAGTAGTAGCAGTAGTAGTAGTAGTAGTAGTAGTAGTAGTAGTAACAGTAATAGTAGTAGTAAGTAGTAGTAAGTAGTAATAGTCGTAGTAGTGATAGTAGTGGTAGTAGTAGTAGTAGTAGTAGTAGTAGTAGTAATAGTAGGTAGTAGTAGTAGTAGTAGTAGTAGTAGTAGTAGTAGTAGTAGTAGTAGTATTAATAGTAGTACTAGTAGTAGTAGTCGTAGTAGTAGTAGAATTGTAGAAGTAGTAGCAGGAGTAGTATTCGTAGTATTCGTAGTCGTAGTAGTAGAAGTAGTAGTAGTAGTAGTAGTAGTACTACTAGTATTAGTAATCGTAATATTAGTAGTAGTAGTAGTAGTAGTAGTCGTAGTAGTCGTACTAGTAGTAGTCGTAGTAGTACTAGTGATGGTAATGGTAATATTAGTAGTAGTATACTGATGATCGAATTAACGGTCCAATAGTAGTAGTAGTCGTAGTATTAAGAGTCGTCGTCGTCATCGTATTCGTTGTCGTAGTAGTAATAGTAGTAATGGTCGTAGTCGTAGTAGTAGTAGTAGTAGTAGTAGTAGTAGTAGTAGTAGTAGTAGTGCTCGTCGTAGTAATAGAGGTAGTAGTAGTGATAGTAGTCGTAACACCAGTCGTAGTGGTAATAGTAATAGGAATAATAATAAAGCTAGTAGTGATACGATTGATACTCATACTCGTAGTGGCGGTACTAATAATAGTCACAGTCGTGATAGTGAGTACTAGCAGTAGTAGTCGTACTAGTGGTAGTAGTAGTAGTAGTAGTAGTCGTAGTTGTAGTAGTAAGTGCACTAGTAGCAATAGTAGTAGTCGTCGTAGTGGTAGTAGTAGTAGTAGTAATAGTAGTCGTAGTAGTAGTAGTAGTAGTAGTAGTAGTCGTAGTAGTAGTAGTAGTAGTAGTAGTAGTAGTAGTAGTAGTAGTAGTGGTAGTAGTAGTAGTAGTAGTAGTAGTAGTAGTCGCAGTAGCAATAGTAGTAGTAGTCGTTGTAATCATAATGTTCGTGGTAATAGTCGTGGTAATCGTAGTCGTAGTGGTAGTAGTAGTAGTCGTCGTAGTAGTAGTAAGAGTAGTGGTTGAAATCTTAGTAGCAATCGTCGTAGTAGTCGTAGTGGTAATAGTAGTAGTAGTAGTAGTAGTAGTAGTAGTAGTCGTAGTAGTAGTAGTAGTAGTAGTGGAAGTAGTGGTAATAGTCGTAGAATCAGTAGTAGTACTAGTACTAGTACTAGTACT